TATTTCTTCAGCAGTTCAACCTTCGAATATTGCTTATTGACTATATTTTCAGAACAAAAGACCAGATTAACGTTTGTTGGAGATGCATTCAGAAGAAACTAAAATATCTACAGGGATCAACTCTGCACCAACATTCCTTATTATTACTCGTAGTGTAGTAACTGAATTTGACCCGTAGTCTCCAATTATATGGATTGGTTATTGAGGCAAATGCTTTACCGGGTTTCAAGACAAGACTTCATACCCAAATTTCATCGTATTTGCCTTTACGCTAAGTTACACGGATGCAACACCAAAGAAATAGATACTTAGTTCTAAAGTATATGTTTGACCAGATACCTAATTACTTGCCATTAACGCTTCCTGTCACAATTACATTTTAAATGAAGAGATATACAATCGGCGATTATCTTCTTGTTACATGTACCTACGCTGAATCTGATACTTCTAAGTTTTCTTTGTGACTTAAGAGTAATGAACTTAATAACATCAAACAGAGGAGTAATATAAATGTAAATTAAGATGAGCCCTTTTATAGTCACATCAGAAAAGGCCATCTCGGGATGATTACCGTTTGAGATGAATCTTTAGGATAGAGGGTGATATTTACTGACCAACAGTGACAGAAACAGTACATGTATCTGATGACTTCACATAAATTAGCAATATTGATCTATATTGCACATGTTATCTGTTTTCGATTTTTGTGAAAGTATCATTTTTCATCACAATTAGTAAACTCTTGAATGCTTTTTAATTAAAGTGTTTTTTGGAATCTTTTAAATGAAAAGGGCTGCATGTTCGGTAAAAATTTATTTCTCAAGACGATTATCACAATCGTTTTTTTTATCGATACCTAGGTGCATGTATTTATTGAATGTATTTCAAGAACACTATAGTGAGCAAAGATTTCAATAATATTTATCAACTCCCAATTGTACACATGACACAATTTCGTCGATTAAGTAAAACTTGTTTGTCGAAAACTTTTTGGTGTAAAACCTCCTTTTTTCCTGTTCATACCTATATTCATTCTAATAAAGGGTTAATTATAAGATTGTCCTCGTCCTCATGTTTTGTTTTGCTTTCACATGGTCTGACACATCTGTTTCATATTTGGTTATTTTACTAGAAAAAGACACCAATGGCAATCTAAACAAAAACCTTATGATAAACGTGATGACTTCAACTTTGCTACATCAACTTCCCTTATGTATGTTGCAATGTATACAATTTTCACCTGCATATGGGGTTTATATCTCCCAGTTGATTTGGTACGCAAGAGCATGTTCTACGTACGAATAATTTCTAAATTAAAACGAGGCAATATATTGACAAAAAAGTTGATGATACAAAGATATCAACAGTCCCGTTTTATAAGTCAACATTTCGCAAATTCTATGGTCGATACAAAATACAATCAATGTTCAAATCGAGTTGTTTTTCATAAAAATTGTTAGGCCATTATTTTCACACTAAATTCTCTCCATATTTTCCCGTTTGCCCGATCTTGACAAGGAGCACAAGGCGTGTGTGACCAGTCGACAGAGGACGCTTACTCCTGCATGGCGCTTGATTCGACCTTTGATGTTTAAGAGATCCGTGTTTGTTCTGCTCCCAATTATTATTGTTCCAATGAACTTTTGAGCTTGATTACTATTCGTTATCTTCATATTTCATTTCATAAAGCAAATTCAAGCCCTCGAAGTAATTACATGTATGTTCATTTTCCTTATGAGACCCGACATTTTAAATTTTGCATTTTCAGAAATCCTCTAGCACTGGCTAAGAAGGAAAAATACATCTGTGTATCAAGCATTTAGTTCCATAGAATAAGATGCAATTATGGACCATGTACATATAATATAACTTGTCGCCCGCGTGATGCAGTGGTTACAGCGTTTGCTCTATGGTCGCGGAGTAAGGAGTTGACCCTTACGCGCCGGTTCGACGGGTGGATGTGACTGTAGAGACAGAGGTCCCGTGTCGCAGTAGCTGCTGGCACGAAAAAGTTCCTCACTACTCAATAGTCTCGAGTGCAGAGTACAGGTCTAAAATTTGCAGCCCTCCACCGGCTTCATATGGGTGAAAAATCTCGAGGAAACGTTAAACAAACAAAGAAAAAACATATATAACTTTAAGTAAATTAGATTAACGTACCAATCAATCTTATATTTGATTTGTTAATTTGTTAACAGTATATGCAACTAACATAAATTGTAAATTCATAAATTAAACTAAGTTGCAGGTGGTTGCTCTATGGAAAGGAAAGAAAGCGAGATGTCCGATAAAAAAGTTAAAGATTTTACACATTCCTTCTATGTTATCTAACGATAAACTTCTATATATATATAATCATAAATATGCAAGCCACGATCACCTTACAAAAATTAACACGGAGGAGAATAACATCGTGAAATTGCTGCGGATTGTATTGCAGATACTATTATCCCTTATAGATGTTATCTGTACTTTTATTCTGTTTTAATTACAGGTTGTGGTTTGTGGTGTAAATTGATATATATATATATATATATATATATATATATATATATATATATATATATATATATATATATATATATATATATATATATATATATATATATATATATATATAAAGTGGTCACATTCTTAAAAATTAAGTAACCTGCTGATTGATTTCTTGAGTATCAAGCATACAGTTTACAGATGGTAGAGAATAACTTTGCTTGATAAGGTATTTTGGTGTATAGAAAATATAGTCTCTGTCTTCCTTATTCACTACCCAGTGTACATTGATTAAACAGTTTTTGTGGTCGTGTTTACAATGAATGTTTCATTGACTTGATGATTATAAAAATATACGTACTTAATAAAAACAATATTGGAGAGTTTCATAATTTATTTTATCTTGATTTTTATTTACCTCTTTTTCATTAAAAGTTAGTTAAAATTGAAAGTTAATTATAGGTATTCAGAAATTTAATTGTACAAAATAAATCAATAACAAATAAAATAATTATAATTATTCAGAAAACAAACAAACAAAAACAAATAAAGTACTTTACTTAGGTAACACTGACAGACATGACCTGTTTCATATTTTCAAGCTATTGTCCATTTACTTGTGAATTATGCTATTATTGCGGATTATGCATATGCTGTTACTGGAATTCAAAATATGACTGAAGTATGTGTGCAAACTCGTAGATTAACTCTCACGAAAAAATCCTTTTTTGATTTCAACAAATTAAAATATCACTCATTAACGTGAATATTAATCATATAACCCTTCCAATGAATATGTAAAACAACCAGCATATGCTTGTGTGCATAATATTCGTTTTAAATTCTATTTGACCTGGACCAGTTTCTGCTCAGGCCCAATGCTTGATCTTTTTTGTATTTGTGCCATTTATTTTTCCTCAGAATATATTAAATATTTAGAAATTAGGGGAAAAACCATTGCATGTCATGGAAAGTGCGATAACTCTCCTTTGCATATATATTATATCAGGTCAATAATTTTTTTTTTTTTTTTGGATTTTGAACAATTTATATGCAATCGCTATGAGCATAAAACATTCAATCAGTAGGTTTCGAGAGGAAAAAATCTACAAGGGACACAAGCAAAAATTAAAGTAAGAAGAGTACGTTTGTTCAGCCTTACGGTGTATGAGATGCACACAATGCTGATTTTGATGTACAGAATAAAATATAATTTAATTGTGTTGATCTATTTTGATTATTCTGAAGGAGATGTGCTATGTAGCAATGTAACCACAACAACACATAATAGGTATAATACACTTTTCTGTTATATTCTCTTTTATTTATAATCAGCAAACGTTAGACACTAATTCATCATAAACTCAGTTATTGAGATCTATAAGATAATAATCATACTATAAAAATGATTACTATAATTATATTCCTTCAGCTTCTTTGATTAGATATAATACAGTTTTCTGTTTATTCCAATTTGATAAGCATAGAACATGGTATTTGTTTGTTCACGTTAAATTGACATAAGGCACATTTATCTATGTGCAGAATTTACAAAAGTACCAGACAATTATACAATTATGTAGAGATATAATAATATATTTCCTGTATCAGGTTACGCATGATTTCACATGAACAATTTATTGAAAGTCGCAGATTATATATAATACATAAAGAGACTCAAGTTGGATTTCTCTGAAAACCATACATGTGTCTGTTACATGTTCATTTCATTTCATGTTAATATTACTTTGAAATCTCGTATACATGTAGTTAAATGATTACCATGATTTATTCAAATTAATTTTGATGACAAAACTATAGAAAAAGACCAGCATGTACATTGTTTTACATATATGTATTATGCATGGAGACGGTTTGCAATAAATGTATTCTGCAAGTAATACAATTGTAAAACAATACAGCTGCAGTCTCTATGCATACAGTCTCAAATAAAAAATACATGTAAACATACATAAAATTAAATAAAAAATTAATTGCATGTTCTTTTTTTTTTTGGGGGGGGGGGTGTCATTGAAAATTGTAAATATTCATTGAGAATTTATATTGTCCTTCTTAACAATATCTATACCAAGAACTAGTTAACGTACATGACATTTGATATGGTGACAGAATTATAATTGTCTCTAGGTTAAAAAGACATGTCGTGGCTTTTCTGTTTAAACCACTCAATATTTTTATTAAATTTGCTGTAATGAACGCCATCTTCTTGCAATTTCAATACCAAGCATACAAATACATGATGTGAATGTTTAACACAACTTTTTATCTAAGTTAAAAATCGGAACGACCAAAGGAGTTAATAAGTAAATAAGCAAGTAAATAATTTATTACAGTGGTACAGGTATTGGTACATGTACAATTATACAATGTATTTAAAGCAATAAAGTAATTTTTTACATCGATCCAAAGAACCTATTTGTCACAATTAATATTTCGGTAGTATATAAAGTAAAGTAATGAAGAATAATTGATATTATAATACCCTTTTTGTGAAGTTCTAAAGGGTTTTTCAAAGCATCAAATAGAAAAGTAGTAGTTTGACTAGGAAATTTACATAAAATATTTGAAAAGAATGTTATCTCATGATAAATTTTATGAATTATTAAATCCAATTTTGTCTATAAGAAGATTATTTTATAATTTTCAATGTAAAATAAAAATGTATTTCGTTTTCAATTTCGTTTTTGTTGCAAAATTCCAAATTCTGTCTTTAGCGTCCAGTTGCAATTCGAAGCGATGGTACACCCAAAATTTCCATCACTGATCGTATAGATATAGGTAAGTATTGAAGTACTGCTCCAGCCCATAAATACTAGTTTTGAGGAGACTATAAGTTCGGAGTTTGGAAACAATTTGTAAGTCTTCAAGCCATTGTGTTTCAAGTTTCTGACATAAGAAGTCTTTCGGATAATTCCAAACTGCATCTTGGAAGGTTTGAGTAGAAATGCGTCATATTCAGAGAATCAAATAAAAGTTTAATTTTTGAAGTCTAATTTGTAAGGTTACAGGTGTATTTTGATTCCGGTTCCAAAGAAAAACTTTGTTCGACATACGATCGTTTCTAGTGGACATTTGTGAGAAGCACTGACTTTTTCAATCGACGGATTACGATTACACCAGGACAATATACGGAATTTTCAAAGTGCATAATGTTTTCAAAGTGCGTTGCCACACTGCTTCCACCATAATTTGAAAGAATTATAATTGGTCATATAATAGCTTTACACCAAATATATGGTACATTTCCAGCATCAAAGCATAAATCAAACATTTTTTGCATGTTTTTGACGACGTTTTCATTTTTCAAAAATTTGTATGACAGTTCATCCACTCTGGAATATAATATTGGTAATACTTATATTTTCTAAAATATTTCTAAAAAATTTGTATTTTTAACTTAGAATCTTTCATGTTCTCCTCGAATTTGAGATCAAATTTCTCTCTTTGAGCGACATTAAAAAGTGATTTCCAATCACCCACTGTACCTGTGAAAAGAAAAAAAAAGATATATATTATCACATGCATTTGGGGTTTATATCTCTCAGTTGATTCGATACGCCAGAGCATGCTCTATGCATGAATAATTTCTAAAACGAGGTAAGTTATTGACAAACAAGTTGATGAATCAAGAATATCAGCAGTCTCGTTTAAAGTCATCATTTTGTAAGTTTTACGGTCGATACAATGACCTTGTCAGCAAATACAATCTTTCATTAAGTCAAATGCAGACTGACTTTTTTCGTACTTATTGTTAGGCCATTATTTACACACTGAATTGTCGACATATTTTTCCGTTATTTCCCGATCATGACAAGGAGCGCACGGCGAGTGTGACCGGTCGGCAGGGGATGCTAACTCCTCCATGGCACCTGATCCCACCTCTGATGTCTCAGAGGTCCGTATTTGTTCTGCTCCTATTTTGTAATGTTTAATGGAAACTTGAGCTCGAATACTGTTCGTTATCTCCACGTATTTCACTTATTATGTATGTATACAATAAATACCATGTATACAATAAATACCAGGCCTCGAAGATATCATTATATTTTAATTTCTACTTTTTCAAACAAAAACAAAGCTGGGTCACGTTTCTTCACAAATACATAATTATGTAATTTACACCTCTAGTTTCAAATTTTGCATAAAAAATATCTAAATATAGGTAATCAGGTAAACATAGGTTTTTCAGTTTATCAGAGGCGCGAAACTTAATAGAATGTTGAAAAAGAGACCCCTCCTCCTTTTGACGTCATTTTCAAGCCCATGATTGTTTGGAACTCAATATAAAATTTACGATTAAATTTCATAGATTTTACAGAATGGGGTAACAATTGCAAATTTACGGAACAATTGTGTCGTACCACATGCCTGAATAAACCGGATTTTTCCGATGACAGTTGCTCATATCAAGAGTTTTTTCTCAGTTACACTCAGGTAGAAAAAAACATCATATATGAGGTTGCGCCTCCTGGACATACCATTGCTTACAAAAACATTGACAATTTATCAAAAAATAAAACATATGATTTATGATTTATTCCATAGACAGAAAAGATGATGCTTACTAAATGTGTTAAAATTCATTGATGAACCCAAAGCGGTTTTAATCTTACGGCGCTAGTCCACGAACGTTTTGTTAACCCCTCGAATATGGTACAATTCCAGCATTAAAGCATAAATCAAACGTTTTATGCAATGTTTTGACGACGTTTTCATTTTTAAAAAATTCGTATGACAGATTATCCACTCTTGAATATAATATTGGTTATACTTATATTTTCTAAAAATTAACTTAACTGTATTTTTAACTTAGAATCTTTCATGTTTTCCTCGAATATGAGATCAAATTTCTCTCTTTGATCGACATTAAAAAGTGATTTCCAATCACCCACTGAACCTGTGAAAAAAAAAAAAAAAATATATGAAAAGATTTCAAACTTATTATGCATGCATACAATAAATATCATATATACAATAAAAATCAGACCTAGTAAATATCATTATATTTTATTTTCTACTTTTTCAAACAAAAACAAAGCTGGGTCAGGTTTCTTCACAACTACATTTGTAATTTACACCTCTAGTTCCAAATTTTGCATTGGAAAAAAAAAGCTAAACAAAGTTGTCAAAGATTACAGTGTTCATCTCAATGAATGCTATATTAAGTAAGGGAAAGTCCCACACTAAACTAATAATCTAATAGTGTGCATCTCTAGATGATAGGACTAATAGAACTTGGAGTTACATTGGAATGAGTCTGCTTCACTGGAATGAGTCTGCTTCAAAACCTTTAACCTGATCACTCATCTGGAAAATGTAGGTCAAATCCAGCATTTGAAGCAAGTCCAGTAGTGTGTTAGTGTGCATCCTTAGATGCATCATCCCTGCAAGTTTGGTTCAGCTTTTAGTTTCTTGGAATAGACCTGCTCCAAAAACTTTAACCTGGTTACTCATCCAGAAATTAAATTAAGGTCAAAAGCAGCATCCAAAGCAAGTCTAGTAGTGTGCATTCTTAGATGTTTCATCCATACAAGTTTGGCCATCATAGGGCTTATAGTTACGTTAGAATGAACCTACTTCAAAAACTTTAACCTGGTCATTCATCCGCAAAATGTAGGTCAAATCTAGAATCTGAAGCAAGTCTTGTAGTTTGCATCTTTAGATGTATCGTCATTGCAAGTTTGGTCAACATTGGGTTTATAGTTACTTTAGAATGAACCTGCTCTAAAATTAAACATGGTCACTCATCCTGAAAGCCGTCACGATAGCTTAGTCGGAAGGTCGAAGGAATCACGACCGGGACTGACCTAAGTCGATAAAAAATAGGTAGAAACCGTTCCTTCGCCAAGCGCTCGGCACTTTGAAGTGAAAATTCTTGGTACTTGGCCACGTGTCACGGTAGGCGTTGGCACGATAAAGAACCCTCACTGCTCAATGGCCCTGAGTGCTGGGTAGAGGTCATCCTGAAAATGTAGGTCAGATCAAGCATCCAAGCAAGCCTGGTAGTGTCCATCCTCAATATGCAAGTTCAATGCAGGTCTTATAGTTACCGAGTACTTGGAAATGAGACCTGCTCCAAAAATATTAACCTGGTCATTTTTTAGCTGAAATTGCATCATCTGAAACCGCTGAAACCATTGAAGGAACAGTTGATACCTATTTTTTATCGACTTAAGTCAGTCGCAGCCGTGATTCAAACACACAACCTTCCGATCACGGAGCGAGCGCTCTACCGACTGAGCTACCGTGACGGCCCCATTCCCTTGGATATCATTTATATAATTTGTATACATAAATGGGATTTTTTTTAAAAAAATGATATCCACACAAATATGTCGTAAAAGAAACACACAATAAGAAGAGATTTCAGACTATAGACATTACAATTATGCACAAAAGTAAAGAAAAATATGAAATATTTCAAGATAACAAACTCAAAATGTTCGTAATCAATATCTATGAAAAGGTTCCTCCTATCTCTATATACTGAAATAAAATAATTTATGAGAGACGAATTTGTACATGTATGTAGATTAATGTTATTGACTGTAACGAAAATCGACAAACTTTCTGTAAAGACTAAAATCAATCCTAGAGGTCAGATCCCCATTTTTAGAGAAGTGTTCCTTTCATTACTCTTTTACGTGAGTTATGTATCTATTCAGCTAGGTTGGAACCGTTGTAAACCGTGTTTTCAATAAAGGAAATATAACAAGAGGCCCAAGGGCCTTGAATCGCTCTTCTGATAAATTGTACAACCTTTCACTTCTATTTGAAGCCTGTAAGTATCATGTATATTTAGATAAAGCCTTGAAATTCCAAAGGTAGGTCATCATGACCTACATTTTAGATGAAACACTCTGAGAACTCAAGATGATTCTAAGCCAATAAGTACCTGAGAGTAGGTCATGGTGACCTACTTATCACTTGTCATTCTCTGAGGATGCATCAACTAAGATTGATGATTCTAAGCCAATTAATGCCTAAAATATTTTTAAAATCATAACCTACAAATTTCAAAAGTAGGTTACAGTGACCTACTTATACAGACGACATACTTTGAGGACCCAAGATGCATCAACTGACAAAGTTTATTGATTCTTAGCCAATTAGTACCTGATATATTTAAATAAAGCCGTAAAATTTCATAAATAGGCCACAGTGACCTAAATATTTAAATATAGCCATAAAATTTCAAAAGTAGGTCACGGTGACCTACTTTTCAGTTGACATTTTTAAGGACCCAAGATGCATAAACTTACAAAGTTTTATAATCATAGGCCTTAAAATCTCCAAATTATGCCTCTAAAACGCTTTGAAATCGAATGCCTGCAAAGTTCAAAAAGTAGGTCACTGTGACCTACTTTTTAATAAATATGTTTTATAGACCCAAGATGCATCATCTTAAAAGATTTAATGATTCTAAACCTCTCAGTATTCGAATGAAAAACCTTAATTGTTTTGAAAGAGATTAGCCATAAAATTCAAAAAGAAGGTCAAGGTGACCTACTTTTTAGTTGACATACGCCGAGGATCCAAATTATATCAACCGAAAAAGTTTGATGATCATAGGCCTTAAATTGTTCAAAATAAGCTTCTAAATCATTTTGAAAAAGAATGGCCGCAAAATTTAAAAAGTAGGTCATCGTGACCTACATTTGAGTCAACATGATATGAGGTCCTTAGATGCATCAACTGACAAGATTTGATGATCCTAGTCCTTAAAGTAAGCAAAATATCAACATTTTAATAAAATGTAATTTTTGGTCAACTTGGAAGTGACCTTGAGATCACGCCCTTTGCCCCAGGGTGATGCCTTGAACAATTTTTAATCTACAACATATCCTCATCCTTGTATGTAAGTTTGGTGATAATCTGCTTAGTGGTTCTTGAGAAGAAGATTTTTAAGCAACCAGTACTTTTGTTTTTATTTTCCTAATTATCTCCCCTCGTTTAAGGGTCACAACCCTAGTTTGAGTATAAACCGAAGCACTTGGGCCAAGGATACCCTGTGACAAATTTGACAATAATTGGACAAGGGGTTCTTGAGTTATGGCCCATATTCTTAAAAAAGTTTACGCACACTGCACAAATAGACATAGCATTAGCTCTTTGAGCCTTTGGCTCAGAAGAGCTAAAATCTATTTACGTCGCCGCAATGCGTGGAGAGAGCACATGTCTTATACGGAATGTTTCTAGGTCAAACCCTTACAGTTTATATTGGGGAATGACCGTTACTTTACATTTGGCATTAGATAATAGACATTCGAAAATTAGAGACATTCGAAAAAAAAAACCTCATAGAAACCTAGACTCCATGCCGTCTATAAACCCCTATCTTTGTTGGCTCGAATCCTCTGCAAAGACCTGACTTGCGTAAAGTTACAAAATACTGATATACCAAATGAGTAATAAATTGTAAATCCTACCTTTTCTGAAAATAAATTCATCAGCCGTGCCCTTCCTCCGCTTCTGCACTTCGTCAAAGGAACATTCATCATAAACAGTTTGTAGGAAAGTAGGATCGGATGACAGTCCAAGAAAACTAGAGATGCGAGTCATCGTTTCTAGGCCATTCTTAATTAAACGTTTAAATATATATATAAAGCACCTCACCTTAATGTACCATCAAAGTTTGCTCTGCTTTATTTAATGATATTTATTAATAATTACCAAACATACCCTTTTCAGATCTTCATAGTAAAGAACCAAAATATTCTCTGGTTGTTGCAGTGCTGCTTCTTCCCACTCCTTTTCTCGTTCGAACCAGCTTCCATAAAAATATTCTTTATAAATTTAAAAGAAAGAATAAAAAAAGAAATCTGATTCTAAAAGAATAATTACATCCTGCTCATCTTCTGAATAAATGCACGTTTTATATCTAATTTTACATGGCTACAGCAAGCTGTACAAATTCAGCTAGGATCATCGGGCTACCGAAGAAATTAAACAATCTATATGTAAATTATGATGGAATAAGACTTTCAAATTAAGGTGGGGATAAGGCGATGGATCAATGTTGTCATCAATAAAACATAACACTACGGACCCCATCCGCTGTGATGCACATTAACTCTTCAAAATTACTAAATATCAATTTCACGTCTCTAACAATTTTACCGTTGTAATCGTAATATTATCTTTGATAAAAGCTCAATTTCTACTTTAAAACTAAGCAAACATACGTGGTTTCATCTATTTAACGAAAACTGTATTTGAGTTTTGACATATACATGTACATACATAATAAAGTGTTTAAAAAAACTCCACTGCAAATCTCAATGTCAATTCACACATTTTCATATTTCAAGACGAGGTTTTCATTTGCATAAGAGTTCCGAGTTAATTGCATGGGATATATATAGAATAATTTTTTTTCTATATAAAAAGAAAACAAATCTTTTCGCAAAGAAATGCATGGATCTTATACTAAATAAATTAACATTTTTGTTTTAAATAGCACACAAACCATGCAGATTTAATGATGAATTGGAACTTGCCTAAAATTGACCACAGAACCTAAATTAATGGATTTTTTTTGCGAATTTATAATAAAATAATCATGACCACTACTTATTCAACATAATAAAGTAAATGATAAAAATTGCCTCTTTTTAGAATTTAACTATTTAATTTGGAAATGAAGTTCTTAATATTCTTGATGAACATCTTGAAACAAACGTTGATAATCTGATCGTATCTATTGTCAAGAAATAGAACTTTTATTGCTGTAAATTGACTTCCGCACTAAGTTTTCCCTCGAAATTTAAACTTTATACCAAATTCGCGCCAGATTTTAAAAATCATGTTTTACCGTTCTATACTTAAATTTGTTGATACTTACTTCAAAGTCCACTGCTATGTCCTTTAGAAAATTATATTGATCAATCGGATATTTTTCATGTTATATACAATGAGTCGGTCCTTTTAATGTAGAATACTGTGCAGTGCCTTCATGTCTCTAAAGGCCTCATTCGTTAATAATTACCGGTCACGGTAGCCTAGTGGAAAGCGCTCGATTCGTGATCGGGAGGCCCGGGTTCGATTCTCGTTCGTCGCGCCGCGTCAAAGCAAAGACGTAAACATAGGTAGTGACTGTTCCTTCGCCAAGCGCCCGGGATTAGAAGTGAAAGTCACGGATCTTTCGGATGAGACCTTAAAAACCGCGGTCCCTTGTCACGATAGGCGTTGGCACGATAAAGAACTCACTGCTCAATGGCCCTGAGTGCCGAGTATAGGTCTAAATTTGAAGCCCTTCACCGGCATACGGTGACGTCCTTATATGAGTGAAAAATTCTCGAATGGGACGTTAAACAACATACAATCAATCAATCAATCAATCAATCATTAATATTTTTTTACGCATTTCACGCACTCTTCGCGCATGTTTTCCCTAAGTTAGTCATTGTTTTTTTTATGGAGTAGGAGGTAATTCAATATACTGTAATACTTATACCTCCATGCAAGAACTCATCCAAAAACACAGACCAGTCAGCAGGCACATAGTTCTTAGTGTTTGGGTCTGTGATGTAATGATGAAAAGCGGACACGGCAACGTCTTTGGGGTTCCGGATAATATGGATAATTTTCCCGTTGTTTTGTGTGTGTTCTTTGGGCAGAAATCGATATGGAAGATGTGACGTCACGACTCTAGGAGAAGGCACTGATTTTAGATCCTGTAGATCGGACACGAACTCTAGAAAAGTGTATATCAACCTATGGGAAGACTCAACTGTTCCTTGCAAAAGACGAGGGACGATTTCATTCAGCCAATGGTTTCCTAGAACGAATTTTATGTTAATATATATGTTAATACATACTTTATTTCCCCATTTCAAAATATTATTTTATCAATGTTGCTGAAGATGGCGACTGTTTACTCTAGGTCTGTGTCAAAAGTTTCATCGCCAAAAGCAAAGGTAAATACTCTGTTGTGCTATAATAAACAGATTTCAAGTAAGCATAACAGAGTTTGTGTAATTTGTGTTTTGTGATTATCATTTGTATTAATAATAATATAACTTAGAGTTTTATCCAAGATCATTGTTTATTTTTGTTATCTAGTTTACTTTTCTGGCAGACCCTTTTCCCCTCTATGCTCTCTCTATTAACAACCGTGGTAATTACTTTTACTACTATAGTAGGAAAATAACAAAAAGTAAAAATAAGCAAAAAAGAACCATATCAGTTTTGTTATCATTTTCTTAAATAATATTGTATGGGGCGTATCATGCTCAAGACTTTTACAATAATATTATTTAAGTAGTTTTGAGTTATTTCCTCAAATTCTAATTCATCTTTCTGTAATTTTTATGGTATTTCTTCAATACTGATATTGTTACCATTTCATCCTTTCAACTAGATAAAGAACCGTATAATTTCCGACTGTAACCCACCAGTCATGCCGAATGAGCTGAGATTAATTCTGGAAGGCCATGAACAAGTACTTATCACATGTGTGTTGGAATTCTAAATGTATCTTTTCAAAATCACATGCATTGTGGTTTTCCCAAACTTCACACCGTAACTCATATGCTTCTGACATATGTGTCAAATAGTGAAACCATAATTTTAATATTTAAACTCAAAAGACTAACCTGAGATCTGAGATAAAACATTGCTTTTCTACCTTGACTGGTTAATTGATCCGTATTACATGGAATTTTCCATTAGTATTCAATAAAACTCCGAGGTACGTAAATTTATCTACTTCTATTTGATCTTTGTCTCTGCTACTTTTTATTGTGATGCACTTTTCCTCTGTTTCTAAATATAACATTTTTAGCTCACAACATTAAGCTGTTAAGTATTACATGAATATCCTCACTGTATCCGTGTAATCATTGAATCCTTTCAGTGAAATAAAGGACCATGTAAATTCTACAATACCCTGCCAGTCATGCCGGATGAGCTGGGATTAATACCAGGTCATGAACAAATACTATATCACATGTACTTTGGACAGGTTCATAATTGAATTTGGTCGAACAGTTTTGGAATAAGGCTTACCTGACTTGGGATAGGAACTGATCAGAACATCATCTTTCCTCATAGATAAGTTTTCAATGTCTCTGAGGCGTTGACTGGCACCTTCTAGAAGTGGTTTAAAACCCGGCAGAACTATTCCGTCAACTGTGATCTTCTCTTTACTCGCCATCATACTATGGCCACCAAGTCGTGAAATCAATACTGCTGCTTGATCGTTGTCGTTGTATATACTTTCTAATTTCAGACAATGATCGTTCTATTTAGACAAAAGACAGAGAATCGTATTTAGTTTTAGTGTGTAAGTGGCAGAGGGAAGGAGATGCAAATGCCTTATGGATTTATAACACTGAACATGTTTATGTAATTTTGATGTAGCCTAATATTTTTAAACATCTAAACATAACATAAGAGGTCAACACACTCACCAATCCAATGGTCGTTGACTGTGCTCTGCATTCCTTCAAAGGTTTATTTATTTTTATACTAGGTCATTTTTGATACCTTGTCGTGGAAGTTACTTGTTTGTCTGTATGACATTATATTTCGCAATCATTGATCATTACAATATATAACAGAAAATTCTTCCAAGCAGTATAACCAACAAGCATTATACGTACATGTATGTGCAAAGAACAAATTTAATTAACAGCCACGTCATTGGTCAACAATCATATAGATATATCGAAGGAATCTTCTGCTTAATTTAGAACATTGCTAAATGTTATATAAGTATTTGTATATATTTATATCCAGCACCTTCAGAAAGTGCTAAATCACATCCATACATCCATACTAAATTGTTGTAAAATTAATTTCCGCTAAATATCGTACACGCTAAATAATGTAAGACCTATATTATGTACATGAAATATAAAATTTTAACATCATTTAACTCTGCCATACTGTATTTTATTGTGTAATTTATTACTGCGTCTTTGTAAAGCCATTATTTTAATTGCTTTGAGATGTACATGTATGTATTCTATTTATAGCACATGCTGATATATAAATAATCTTTTTTCTAATTTAATTCGGTATCTCATGAATTGGATCACATACCTTTAAAAAGTACTTGTTTTCTTGTGATTATTCATGAACTGGGGTGAGATATTATAATCTTAAAGAACTGTAATAGCGCGATTTATTTGTTCTGGATATTCTTGTATACAACCCGCTGCAATCTTTGTTGATGTGACGTATATACTAGCCAGAGTTTCGTAATTTTGTAATCCTATGATTTTCTAATTGTCCATTATTAGAAACAATTAGACGATTGCTGCTATAACAATTCTTACGATTTTTTTTATTATTGTCAGACAGTCATTTGTACTTTTAATAGCTTATCATTGTGCTCCTATTTGACAGTATTTAGTTGACATTGTCTGCTACACAATCCGATGTTTTTATGACAATTGTAAATTTTCTAGGAATGGAATATTTACTTATAGATTAAGATAATATCCAGCATAATCACATTAATTTAATCCATGTGTATTTGTTAAATCATAGTATGTTTTAATTATTTATTCTATGTGTACGACAAACTTGTTTGGCACTGCACGGCAAAACTCATCTTGTGCGGTGTCGATCAACCAATAAAAGCAGACAATCTTGTCTAAAGTTCTCCCAGCGCCAAATTCAAAATTCCAAATACTCTTCGATAATCCAATTATGGTGAGAATTATTAAGCCAATTATCTCCTAAGACACTCGACACCTTCTTATTTATTGGAAAAATTATTTTTTATTTAATTACTATATGATATAGATTTGACGGTCACCTTGTACCCGACCCCTTTTTGTCATTTTCCAGTACAATAGACGCCGTCGACCAGACTCACGTTTTCTATCTGTTGTTGTTCATGCTAAAATGTGTTAAGAAATTATTGTTTCCTTTGAGAAACTCTCGTTTTGTTAACAATATTGAAGTTATTCAGGACTGAAGTGCCAACCTACATACATATATATGTGTACAGTATGATGTTACATTTATGAAAGGCCATCCCCGGGGAACTCACACTACTGGGGCCCGTTTAACAAAAGAACTTACGATTAAGACCAAAAACTTGAGTTGATTGTAAAATTGTACAAAATTAATTATTCTGTTTAAAATTGCTAATGTAAAAGTATCTTTCCACATACCTTTTAAAAATATTAAAACCATTTTCTATTAAATGTAAACTAGAAAGTTATTAGCAGAATTAAATTTTGGTCTTAGTCTTAGTCGTAAATTCTTTTGTAAAACGGGCCCCTGGACGAAAAAGTGCTGAGAATCCAAATTTGAACTGATTATGTTTGATAATTACTGATACTGTGCTGTTCGTGCTGATAAATACTGATATTTACTGTTATTATTACTGTTGTTGCTAATAATTTTAGTTGCTTCTGATAAATACTGATAATTGCTGTCGTCTTTACTGTTGAGTCTGATAAATACTGATAAATACATGTACTGTTGCTGTGCTGTTGATGCTGAGATTGATAATAATTACTGAGGTCATTGTTCTTAAGCTGAGAAGGTGTTAAAATAGAGCTTAGGGCTATTAAAACCTTCTTCAATCATTACTCTTTTGAATTTAATTTTCACAACAACATTTTAATATTTTTTTATATTTACTGCTTGTGACAGCCAATCATCTGAGTTAACAGTATTTCATCCCCCCTTTTCTGCTACAGTCTGAATAACCAGTTGAATCATGTCGCGTGTACAGACATTGGTCTCGCACAACGAGAAATGGAATGGAAAACAAATATCATACTCTCTGTACAAAGTTATTTCTTATGTTACTAAATGCATGTCGTAAGAAATACAGAATGTACTAATATCTGACCCGATTCTCGAAAAGAAAGTAGAAACTTCTACACGTGGTGGACATGTGAATATTTTACATGGTGTTTTAGAGCGGATTTAAGAGGGGGATGGAGGTTAGGGGGGTCTGGACCCCCCCCCCCCCTTCGGAATTTGCAGAGTTATTAAACGTATATACTAAAGCAAAGAAAAAAATGACTTTGGACACCCCTAGAAAACGTAATCCACACCATCACCACTACGAAATAGGTGTTTTTTCACGTTTGGAACGTGGATTTTACGGTTTTTTTTTTTTTTGGTTTGGATTTTTTTTTTTGAGAGGGGTGTCCCCCCCCCCCCCCCCCCGGAAAAAAAATCCTGGATCCGCCCCTGGAACAACCAAGTAATTTCAAATTTTGTTTTATTTTGTTTTTTTTTAACTGATTGAAAGATGCGTATTTCATTGAATGAAAATCATACTGCGGAAGAGTTCGTAACTGATGGCTTAAAAAAAATTAAAAAAAACAAAACAAAGCAAAACAAAAATAACGAAAGATAGGAAGCTTTATACCACAAAATGATATTTAAAAAATCGCGGGGAGGACATAAATCATAGAACTAGAGCGCACCAGCTATAAAATAGACATAGTATATATTACATGTACATGAATAAATTTTTTGTGAGAAGTATTTAATACTGCCTTGTTAAAAGGAGAATTGTATGTAAAAGGGGGGGGGCGGGGTTCTCAACTAACAGAGCAAACGGAACCCTCTCATGCATGATAGTTGTCAAATATTCAGATTCTCTACATGAAAATATATATAAATTAATAATTGCAACCTATGACTGTATTAAAGATGCTTCCTAAAAAATTTTACGACAGTACAAATACACGTGGAAAATAATATGCGATGGGAATTTTTAACCTTTGTGAATAAAAAATTGTTATAAAAAGTACCTTGGTAGGGTAACCACTGCATGACTACCCTTCCTTCGTTCAGGTTCAGATATTGATAACTAAGGAGAGATATAAAGAGAAAGGAAAACATAAACATTTATTATCTAATTTTAACATTAAGATGAAAAAATAGTAATAAGATAAAAAGAAATAAATGAATAATGAAATATAAAAACAAATAATTCATGTGACTTTTTCATTTAGAATTTAACTACTAAATAGACTGTAATGAATTTGTTGATAAAATACTTTCTTTAAAACAATTAATTATCACTCGTTTTTTTTAGCATCTTCTCAGCTAAAGAACAATGACCACAGTAATTATCAGTAAATCTCAGCATCGACAGCACAGCAACAGTATTTATGTCTGTCTGCCTACCATCCATAGTTTAAAGATAAAATAGGTCATTTATTGAACAGAAATGACAATAAACAAATAGAAATAAACATAACAACCTTCTTCATAAAAGTACCTAATATGCCCAATCAAAAAGCATGCAACTAGACTAACAGTCCTACTAATAAAAAAGTTTAATTATAAACAACATGGAAATATTTGTGTTTAACTGAAAAATATGTTATGGGGCGTTACATCGCCACCTTAATTAGATAAGCAAGATTTGATGAACAAAATGGTAACACAAATATTGGCTAGCTTGTAACGCCCCTTCAAACAGTATTTATCAGACTCAACAGTAAAGACGACAGTAATTATCAGTATTTATCAGAAAAAACTGAAATTATCAGCAATAACAGTAATAATAACAGTAAATATCAGTAATTATCAACAAGAACAGCACCTATCAGTAATTATCAAACATCATCAGTAAAATTAGGGATTCTCAGCACTTTTTTCGTCCAGTAGTGTTACAATATTATACATTTTAAGTAAAGAATATATCTAAAGAGATTATTTGGATGGAAGACCTTTAACATTTATGAAGTGCAAGCTAGCATTCAAACTTGGATTCTGAAAGCACTTAGAATATTATTATAGCTCATTATAATAATTCTGTACAACGCGTTATCTGTCTGGTTCTAGACAAACACGTGACAGGGCAATAAAACTTCATATTTCCCTGCCGTCATGTCGTTAAAAAACAAAGAAATCAAAGACAAATGTCTGTGAAGTGTCATGGGGACCTCAGTTAAGTGTTTCATTCGTTTTTAAACTGAAAGAAAATTTGAGAGTGGTGTCGAATTTAAAAGTTTGCAATTATTTTTAAAGCTTTGGCTGTTTCGGTAAAATAAACAATTTTACATCATGATCGTGAGGAAAATATGAAGATTTTTCAGACAAGAAAAATCATATTCCCTGAGGGCTTTGCCCTGGCGAAGCCCTTGAAAAATATATTTTTCTTTGCTGAATACATCTTCCTAATCACCTCAAGATCATGCAATAAATGTATAATATTTATCTATTTAACACAAAGATTTACAAATGACCACCTCCTTTCAGTGATGATTAAGTCAGATTATATTATCTGCTTTATCAAAATAGCTAAATTAACAAGAAGTTAGAATGGTGCTTTTCACTACATTGACATATTTTTCATTTTTCACAGTGAAAAATAAACCCGTTAATAATGTCATACCATACGTTACAACGCACAATCCAAGAAATCCGGAAATTTTCAACATAATAAAGAATAACCTGCCTATCCTAGAGGATGATCCTGACATTAAGAAAATATAAGATACTTCATAGATTATCAAAAGCAAGCGACAAAGCCCTTCTCTTAAATCTATCCTTACTAGAGCATCTTTTTTCAGTAACAACTATGAACCACCCATCATCAATAAATGGAACAGATCCAGATGAAGTACATGTCCATATCCATACCCGATAGAAGGATCTACATTTCATTTTAAAACCGGAAATAAATTTGCTATTAAAACCTCAATGTCGTGCACGAGTTCCAATCTTATTTATGTGATAACCTGTGCCGGTTCCGGTGAAAATTATATCGGTCAGAAGGAGACACCTTAAGACGCAAGATGACCGTACACCGACAGCAAATTAGGGAACCAAAATACCAGTGTACCCCTGTCAGTGACCATATTAGAAACTGTGCCAAGAAGAAAAAGCCCAATTTTACCGTTTTGCCCTTTTACAAATTTCGAAGGAATACCACAGAGAGAGAACGTGAAACCAAAGAAAAACTTTTAATTGACAGATAAAAACCTGTTCTAAATGCTACATGATTATATTTTGTATCAGATAAATACTTTTTCCCGCCATATATATCTGTATTATTAGTATGAAAAATTTTTATTTCCCGCATTAAATTACTTACGTTATGTCATAACGTCATAATTAACTTTGCTAATGCGTAAATTAATATTAGCGCTTTTTGACGTCACAATAAGAATGATGATTTTGTATTTATGTGTAACTAAGCAATATGTTGTCAAACTCCTGAAGTTTGAAAATGAAGTGACGTAATAGTTGAGCGGTTGAGACGTCATATAGCTAACCGATTTCGAGATTGATAAACGTTGTAAACATGGATTTTTAACGACATATTTGGGAAAACGTTGGCAGTATACCTATTAGTCTCTGTCAGGATGGCTCATTAACTCTATCTTATAACAGGCCAGGGAATTTTTAAAAACACTCTTCGTGAAGAGAAGGAGATTTGTAAGTTTTGCCTCACTTCTGATATTCTCACACTGTGAGAATACCACTTTGATATCCTTTCACACTGTGCAACACTGTTTCACACTGTGTCAGTTTATTCAGTAAATAAATTACAGTATTTCACTGTTAAAAATATTATATATATATATATATATATATATATATATATATATATATATATATATATATATATATATATATATATATATATATATATATATATATATATATATATATATATATATATATATATATATGAAATATATGGAGATAACGAACAGTATTCAAGCTCAAAAGTCCATAATACAATACAAAATAGGAGCAGAGCAAACACGGACCTCCAAACATCAGAGGTGGGATCAGGTGCCATGGAGGAGTGAGCATCCCCTGCCGACCGGTCACACCCGCCGTGTGCTCCTTGTCTTGATCGGGAAATAACGGAAAAATCCGTCGACAATTCAGTGTGTAAATAATGGCCTAACAATTAGTATGAAAAACGTCAGTCAGCATTTGACTTAATGATAAATTGTATTTGCTGACAAGGTCATTGTATCGACCATAGAACTTACGAAATGATGACTTTAAACGAGACAGCTGATATATATATATATATATATATATATATATAGAATTCATCACAAATTCAGTTATTGAAATCTATAAGATAATAATCACACTATAAAATAATGTATATAATTTATTATAATTTTATTCCTTCATCTTCTTTGACTAGATATAATACAGCTTTCTGTTTATTCCAATAAATTGGTAAGAATAGAAAATGGTACCTTTTGGTACAAAAATAATTTATGTTAAATTGACCTGAGGCACATTTATCTGTGCCGATTTACAATAGTATCAGACATTTATACAATGATGTACAGGTATTATCACATATCTCCCATAACAAATTACATATTATGATTTCACATGTACATTTCATTGAAAGTCGTAGATTCTAAATAATACACAAAGAGGCTAAGAAAAGAATTCTCTGAAAAGCATGTTCCTGTTATATTTCATTAAATATGAATATCACTTTGAAATCTCGTATACATGTAGCAAAATGATTTACAAGATTAATTCAAACTAATTTTGATAACGTTGGTGTTTAATAAAACAATAGAAAAAGACCAACATGCAATACACATGCATTATGCACGGAAACTGTTTGCGATTAATGGATTTAATTATTTTGCAAATGAAACAAATGTAATGCGGTGCAGTCTCTATGCATGCAGTCTCAGCAAATAAAAAATAAGAATACATTTTGTAATAACAAAATGCATGGTTTTTTTTTTTAATTTGGCTTTTATTTGTTTGCGTGTTTGTTTGTTTTGTTTTGATTTAATAAAAACATTGAAAATGTGAATATTCATGGAAAATTTATTGTCCTTCTTAACGATATCTATACCAAAAACTAGTTGACATATGGCATTTGATAATGACAAAAGTACATTTGTATCCATCTTAAAAAGGCTTATATTTTTCTTGTATGTCATTCAATACGTCGATTAAATCTGCTACAATGAACGTCGTTATGTATAAATAAATGTCTTGCATTTTCAATACCATGCATGATGCAAATTTTACAGACAATAAATCGGAACGACTAAGGGAGTACTTGAGTAAGTACATGTAAGCAAAAAATTATTCATTAAAGTGGCATGTATTGATATACAATTACACAACATATGTTACAACGATAAATTTAGTTTCTTACATTCGGCCCAAAGGACGTATATGCCACAGTTGAAATTTTGACAAGACATAGATAAACACATGAATGAAGATAAAGTGATATTAGAATGTCCTTTCGTGAAGTTCTGACGGGTTTTAAAAGCATCAAATATATAAGTAGCAGATTGCCTGGGAAATTTAGATAGAGTACGTAAATAGAATGTATTATCAAATAACACATTTGAGCACTTATATATTAAATCCTATTTTGCGGAAGACGTCTTTTCTCTTATTTTCATATAATGTTCAATGTAGTAAAAATATATTTCGTTTTAAATTTCATTTTTTTTTTTTTTTTTTTTTTTTTTTTTGCAAAATTGACAAACTCTGTCTTGAGGTGTCTCAAATTTTTAGTGTCCAATTTCAACTCGAAGCGGTAGTACACCGCAAAGAACACTGCCATCACTGATCGTATGGATTTAGGTAAGAATATACTGACGAACTCCTCCAGCCCATACAGCTTTTTGAGGAGACTATTTCGAAGATTTTAGCTACAAGTACCACAGATAAAAGACTGATTCCACGATAATTAAAAAGTATTAAGGTATTCTAGGATCCGACTTGTTGTCTTTTATAATTTTGAATAATATATGAAAGTTATTTTAATATCTGTTTTTATGAAGACGAGTGAATCCTATTTATTTTTAATTTTAATCAAGTTTTATTATTTCCCGTGTGTAGCCTCATGTAGTTTGTAATCTGTGTAGCTTTACGCTAAGCATGTGGTATAATTCCAGTATGAAAGCATAACCGAAATATTTTATGCAATGTTTTAAATTTCATATGACAGTTCATCCACTCCGGAATATAAGATTGGCAATGGTAATATTTTCTACAAATTAATTTAAATGTATTTTTAACTTCGTATCTTTCATGTTTTCCTTGAAAATGAGATCAAATTTCTCGCTTTGAGCAACAGTAAAACGTGATTTCCAATCACCCACAGTGCCTGTAAAAGAAACAAATACTGCAGATGAAAAGATTTCAAACTTTTATGCTTGTATATACAATAAAAACCAGACTTCGAAGTGATCGTGTATATTTCAATTTCTACTTCTTCAAAATATATGAAAAGATTTCAAACTTATTATGCATGTATACAATAAATACCAGACCTCGTAGATATCATTTATATTTTAATTTCTACTTCTTCAAACAAAAACAAATCTCGGTCAAGTTCCTCACATACATTTGTAATTTATACCTTTAGTTTCAATTTTTGCATTGGGAAAGGGTGAGCTTAACAGCTGTATAAAGCTTCAAAGAAAATGCTAAATTCTGTTCTTTCTGTTTTATAACATTTTCTATAACTTCGGATATCAATTGCGAATAAAAGGAGAAACCAATTCATTCTTTTTAATCTGATAATATCTATATCCATTGAATATTTTCTCCTTTATTTCTTAAGAATATACACATTACGTATTACTGTCATATGCAGCTATAACAATAAGTGAATTTTTAACTAGTTAGATCCGGTAATTGAAAACCATTTGTAGCTCCAAAACTGCCAAATACATGTATGAAATAAGTGTTAAAGGTCTACTATTTTATGGCCCTTCCACCTTTTGTAACGTACGGATTGATAATACATACTATTAAATACAAAATTCTCCCCGTTTTATCCTTAAAAGATATAAATATAAGCAACAAAATGTTTCAGTTTCTTTACTCGTTAATACGGGTATTAACGATATCAATCTTTTCAGAAAAAAATCACAACTCTTTGAAGCGGGTTAAATTTCTCTTGTGCTAGGTTAACGTTGAAGTTGTTGTATCCCGTATGACATTCGGTAGTGGAAATAAAAGAAACCTGTTTACATCACAGCAATGACTGAGTTGAGAGCTCACTTCTTGTACGGAAGATTGCTAGTTCAAACCCTGAAACCTTAAACTTGGTAGTGACTGTTTTTTTAATATCTGGCATTAAATGTTTAAGTCACAAGACTTTCGGACAAAACATAAAACACAGACTCCATGCCCTGTCTAAATTCCTATCTTTGTTGGCTCGACTCTAATGTCTGACTTTCTTAAAATGACAAAATATCAATTTACAGAATGATAACTAAATTGTTAATTCTACCTTTCCTGTAAATAAATTCATCAGGCGTGCCCTTCCTTCTCTTTTGCACTTCATTGAAGGAACATTCATTGTATACAGCTTGCAGGAAAGTAGGATCAGATGGCAGACCAAGAAAACTAGAGATGCGAGTCAACGTTTCCAGCCCATTCTTAAGTAAACGTTTATATATATATATATATATATATATATATATATATATATATATATATATATATATATATATATATATATATATATATATATATATATATATATATATATATATATATATATCACATCTAAAAATATCTGCAAAGTTTGCTCTAATTTATGGAATTACTAGTTATGCAAACATACCTTTATCAGATCTTCATAGTAAAGAACCAAAATAATCCCTGGTTGTTGCAGTGCTGCATCTTCCCACTCTTTTTCTCTTTTGAACCAGCTTCCATAAATATATTCTTTACACATTTAAAAGAAAAATCAATAACAGAAGAATAAACACAGGTAATAAAAGATTACTCAGCTCATCTCAACGAATGTTATCTCTAAGTACGGCAAAGTCCCACACTGGTCCAGATAAGGCTTGGAGTTAATTGGGAATGGACTTATCCCAAAAACTTAAAAACTTAAACGGGTCACTCATCCAGAAAATACAAGTCGGATCTGGCATACAAAGCAAGTCTGTTAGAGTACTTCACTAGAAGCAAAATCCAAGCTAGTTTGGTCTTGGGAGGGCTTGAATTTACACTGCATTGATCCTGCTGCATAAACTTAAACCTAATCATCCAGAAAATGTAGGTCAAATCTAGCATCCGAAGCAAGTCTAATTTTGTGTATCCATATATGTATCACCTGTGTAAGTTTGGTCAATATGGGGCTTATAGTACCTGGTCATTCTTTGGCTGAAAATGCAGCAATTGAAGCCTGGACTGGTAAAATGAAACACAATGAAAACATTATCCATGCAACTCTGATCAATGAAGTATGTGGAGATAACGAACAGTATTCGAGCTCAAAAGTCCATTAAACATTACAAACTAGGAGCAGAGGAAATATGGACCTATAAGACATCAGAGGTGGGTTAGGTGCCATGGAGGAGTGAGCGTCCCCTGCCGACCGGTCATGGATGTACTTGTCAGAAAAGAATTCTGCTTCAAAAACTTTAACCTGAGACGCTGAGGGTATTACATTAGCTCCCCTAGCTTCGTTGAGGTAAGCTAAAAATAGTGAAATCTTATTCTAAAAGAATCCTTAATTTACGTGGCTACAGCTGTACAAAATCATTGAGGAACTTAAGATTACTGAAGTATTGAAACAATCTATATGTAAATTACGATGAAATAAGACTCAAATTAGATGGAGATATATCGATGACTCAATGTTGTCATCAATAAAACATTACATTACGGAACCCATTTTGTTGTGATGCACAGTGATACTTCAAAAACGTCACTTAATGATTTTTTATGTCGCTGACGAATGCCGCTGAAATCGTAATAGTCCCTTTGATTTAGATGCCCGATTTCAACTTTAAACCTAAGCATACATAAGTGGTTATGTATATTTAACAAAACTGTAGTTAGAATTTTGACATGAGCATAATGTAGGGTTTAAAAAAAACCTATTCCACTGCAAATCTCGATACCACTTCACTCTTTTACAAATTTCAAGAGGAAGGTTTTACTTGCATAAGCATTCCGAGTTCATTGTATGGAATATAGAATTTTTTTCCTATATTAAAAGAAAACAAACCTTCTCGCAATGAAATGCGTGAATCTTGTATCATACCATATATATTATGTCGCAGAAAAATAGATTAATTTCCGTAACTTTTTGTTTTAAATTGCACAAGCTATGCACCGGAATTTACCTAAAAGTGACTACAGAACCTAATTTGCGAATCAAATACTTTTTCGGCATAACAAAATAAATAAGATAAAAATTGTGGTCTCTTTTAAGAATTTTACTTCTAACTTCGAAATATATAATATTTTTGATATTTTAAAACAAAACGTTGATTATACATATATTTATTGCCAAGAAATATAACTTTAATTGCTGAAAATTAACTTCCATACCGACTTTTTCCTCGAGATTTTAACTTGATGCCAGATTCGTGCGAGGTTTTAAAAATCATGTTTTACCGTTCTATATACATGTAGGAACGTAGCATCGTTTTTTCGAAAGTTTTTCAAAGGGGGGGGGGTTAGATAAACAAAATTATCAACTTATGTTTAAAAAAATTTGACAAGCAAATAAAAAAAGGGAAATTTGTACAAACTCGAGAATCCTTTTTCGTGTGGTTTGGTGGTGGGGTGGGGATGGATGGGTACGAAGGTTCCAACTTTTTTATGTTCCAAATTTTATTCATACACTACTACGTTATTCTTAATTGACAACAAGTCGGCGGGGGGGGGGGGGGGGGGGGAGGCAACCGGTCTTTCAATGGACATTTTCAATAGTAAAAAGTTATGTTTGGAAAAAAAGAGGACAGCCCCCCCCCCACCCCCCTGATGCTTCGTGTCTGCTATACTCAAATAATAGGTCCTTTTCAGGTTTATTTAAAAAAAGATTACTGTTTACGCATCGAATTCCGTACCATTTCTTTATGACCGCGAGTATATCGAAATTGTTGTAATATATTTACGATTAAGATTTATTAAAAAAAAAATGAATACTGTTTAAGCATTTAATTTCGTTACATTGCCTGATGACCGCGGATATAGTGAAATTGTTGTGATATATTTACGATACCAGATTTTGGATAACAATTTCCAAGTCCACTGCTATGTCCTTTACATAATTATACTGTTCAATAGGCTATTTTTTCATGTTAGATATCCTGAAGCGGTCCTTTTATCGTAGAATGCTGTGCAGTACCTTCATGTCTCTAAAGGTCTCATATATTGATAATTTCTTACGAATTTCCCACACTCCTCTTGTATGCTTTCCCTAAGTTGTTCTTTTTTTTATGAGGGAAGGCTATATTTCAATAAAGTGTAATACTTATACCTCCACGAAAGAACTCATCCAAAAACACAGACCAGTCAGTGGATACAAAATCCTTAAGGTATGGACCTTTGATGTAATGATGAAAAGCGGATACGGCTACATCTTTGGGGTTTCGGATAATATGGATAATTTTCCCGTTGTTTTGTATGTGTTCTTTTGGCAGACATCGAAATGGAAGATGTGACGTCATGACTCTAGGAGAGGGCATCGATTCTAGAACCTGTAGATCGGTCACGTACTCCAAAAAAGTGTATATCAACCTATGGGAAGACTCAACTGTTCCTTGCAAAAGACGAGGGACGATTTCATTCAGCCAATGGTTTCCTAGAAAATTAAAATATGTTAATACATGTTTTGTAATTTCAAAACATCATTTATTAAAATTGCTGAGGCTGGCTACTGTTTACTGTAGGTCTGCATCAAATTTTTTGCCAAAATCAAAGCCAAATACTCTTTTGTGCTGTAATAATCGAATTTTGTTGTATATCAAGATGTAAGTAACACTAACAGAGTTCGTGCAATTTGTGTTTTATGATAATCATTTGTTTAATGATAATATAGACTAAGTGTTACCCAGGGACAGTCTCTATTTTTATCTAGTTAATTTTTTCTGGCAGATTTTTTTCCCGTCAGTGCTATCTCTACCTCCGTGATAATTATTCATGGAATTTTTGTTATTCAACTTGCTCGTTTAATTTATGATTTCTAGATGTACCAGTTGAAAATAATTTTTCCCCTGAAAAAATCATTTTTCAACGCGTCAACTATATCTTTACTTTTTAAAGGACGACTGCACTTATGCCTGTTTTTGGGTCTTTTTTTCGGTTGCTTCTGTTGCTTTTATATCTAAACCTTATTTCACTTTTGTATGTTTATGAAAGAATCCTGTCAATTTGGAACCAAATTTAAATCTTAAAATGATTTTAGACTGTGATTCAATGTTTTTTGTCCTTACTGCTTTCCAAATATAGTGAATTTAAACTTACCTGCCCTTGATTGAACATTGCATATGCATGAGAGGTGGAGCTTACATTGTAAGAATGGGTCTAAAATTAGACTTGATAAATAACAGTGACATGTTCATGATGTTTGAAAAAAAGAACGTGATCACTCTTTCCAATCTCCCTCTCTATTCTGTATGGCACAAATACAATTCTGACAAAGGTTTCAAAAGGAAATTAACAATATGAGCACGTCAATTTAATTAAAGCAGATTTTATAACAATGCCAGATGACTTAACATGTTCGAACATGTTCTAGTCAGCACAAAACATGCTACCTTATAAGTCACGTGACGGAATTTAGTATTCACAAAGTTACCTGAGGTAAGAAATCATGAATTATAATATTCAACATGTCACAATGATTAATTACAACACAGAGAGCGAATGTAAGAAGAAGCAGTTTTTTTCTCTTTTTAACCATGAGTCCATGTTTGTCTATTAATCTCCTTTTGACACATTATTATTTATGCAAATATACAACTACTCTTAAACGTAGAACAATAGACAAACATGCGCTGAGTATGTATAAAGTCAGTAAAAGTGGGACGTCCTCATTATCGAACGCAGTTTCAAGAAATTGTGATGACCCCTGCCTTTGAAAACAGATTCGAACTTCGTAAATACACACTTTTATTAAACGTAATTACATAAAGTTGTAGATTGGATGTTGACCATTCTTGCTATGAAAAGAAAAATGGTTGTTTTGAAAGTTTATTTTGTCGCAAATTTCGCATGTCCTTAAGTGCAGTCATCCTTTGGGTATATTCCTTTTACTTTTGCTACTAGTAGGAAAATAACAAATAGAAAAGAAAATAAGAAAAAAAAAGAACCATATCAGTTCTGTTATCATTTTTTTAATAACATTGTATGGGTTATATCATGCCCAAGACTTTTACAGTAATATTATTTAATTTTGAGTCTTTTCGTCAAATTTTAATTCATCTCTCTGTGTTCTTTTATTGTATTTCTTCAATAGTGACCTTATAACCATTGAATCTTTTCAACTAGATAAGGGAGAGTATAATTTTCGACAATACCCCGTCAGTCATGCCCGGTGATCTGAAATTAATGCCAGGTCATGAACAAGTACTTATCACATGTGTGTTTGAATTCTAAATGTATCTTTTCAACATCACGTGCATTGTGGCTTCCCTAAACTTCACACCGTAACCCATATGTTTCTGACATATGTGTCAAATAGTGAAACCATAGTTTTAATAATTAAACTCAAAAGACTAACCTCAGATCTGAGATAAAACATTACTTTTCTTCCTTGACTGATTATTTTTGTGTAACATTAAAATTTCCGTTGTAATTGAATAAAAGACCGAGGTACATAAACTTATATCTTCAGCTTTTATTTGCGTATTATGTACACTAAATCACCTTTATTCGCGAGAACTTTATTTTCGCGTAATTACCTGAGAAAATGCGCTCTGGAAAATTTAATGATCGCGTATATTAGTATTCCATGTAGTTTTCTTCTGTTTCTAAAAATAACATTTTATCTCTCTCAACATTAAGCTGTTAAATTAAGCTGTTAAATATTAGATGAATATCCTAACTGTATCCGTATAATCATTGAATCCTTTCAGGGAAATAAAGGACCATGTATATTCTACAATACCCTGCCAGTCTTGCCGGATGAATTCTGGGATTAATATCAGGTCATGAACAAATACTATATCACATGTAATTTGGAAAGGTTCATAATTTGGACTCTGGGTCGAATAGTTTTGGAACAAGGCTTACCTGACTTGGGATAGGAACTGATCAGAACATCATCTTTCCTCATAGGTAAGTTTTCAATGTCTCTGAGGCGTTGATTGGCATCTTGTTGAAGTGGTTTAAAACCCGGCAGAATTATTCCGTCAACTCTGATCTTCTCTTTACTCGCCATCATACTATGGCCACCAAGACGTGAAATCAATACTGCTGCTTGATCGTTGTCGTTGTATATACTTACTATTTTCAGACAAAGATCGTTCTAAAGACAGAGATTCGTATTAGTTTTAGTGTGTAAGTGGCAGAGGAAGGAGATGCCCTCTGGATTTATAACATTGAACTTTGAGGATTATGAAATATTATATTTTTGAACTTCTAAACATATCGAAAGAGGTCAACCTATTCACCAATCCATTAGTGATCGTTGACTGTGCTCTGCATTCTTTCAAAGATTCAAGTATTTTTGTACTAGGTCTTTTTTATACCTTGTCGTGGGAGTAACGTGTTTGTCTGTATCAAATTGTATTTCGCAATCATTATCATTACAATATATAACAGAAAATTCTTCCAATCAGTATACCCAACAAGCATTATACATGTATGTGCAGAGAACTAAATAAATTTAATTAACAGCCCCGTCATTGGTCAGCAATCATATGGATATATCGAAAGAATCTTCTGTTTAATCTAGTACATTGCTAATGGTATATATGTATTTGTATATATATTTATATCCAGCACCTTCAGAAAGTGCTAAATCACATCTATGCTAATTTGTTGTAAAATTAATATCTGCTAAATATCGTACATGCTAAATATTGTAAGACCTATATAATGTACACGTAATATAAAATTTTAACATCATTTAACTCTGTCATACTGTATTTTATTATGTAATTTATTACTGCATCTTTGTAAATCAATTATTTCAATTGCTTTGAGACGGTTTCTGTTTTTTAGAACATGTTCATGTATTTATTCTATTTATAGCACATGCCGATATATAAATAATCTATTTTCTAATTTAATTCAGTATTTAATGAATTGGGTCACTTACCTTTTAAAACTACATGTTTTCTTGTGATTATTCATGAACTGAGGTGAGATATTATAATCTTAAAGAACTGTAATAGCGCTATTTTTTTGTTCTGGATACTCTTGTTTACAACCCGCTGCCATCTTTGTTGATGTGTCGTACATACTAGCCAAAATTTTGCATTTTATATTCCCATGATTTTCTAATCGTCCATTTATTAGAAATAATTAGAAGATTAGTGCTCAAACAATTGTTACAAGTTATTTATTATTGTTAGACAGTCACTTGTACCTTCAATAGCTTATCATTGTGCTCTTATTTGACAGTACTTAATTGACATCGTTTGCAATAAGATCAGATGATTTTATGACAATTATACATATTTCTAGGAACGAAGTATTTACTTACAAATTAGGATAATATAAAGCACAATCATATTAATTTGTGCACATGTATTTGTTAAATCATAGTATGTTTTCAATTATTTATTCTATATGTACGACAAACTTGTTTGGACACTGCACGGAAAAACTCATGTTGCGCGGTGTCATATATTGCAACGATTGGTCGAGTGTTACCAAACAGTTATTTTATTGGTTAAGCCCTATCACGTGGTAGCTCGGAAATTCTCAATATATGAGTTGATCAACCAATACATGTACTAGCAGACAATTTTGTCTAAAGTTCTCCCAGCGCCAAATTCAAAATTCCAAAAGCTCTACCAATATACAATCATCCAATTTAGATGAGAATTAATTAAGACAATTATCTCCCAACACACTGGACACCTAGTTATTAATTGGAAACATTTTTAAAGTTACTATATAATATAGATTTGACGGTCACCTTGATGCCCCGATCCCTTTTTGCCATTTTCCAGTATAATAGACGCTATCGACTAGACTCACGTTTTCTACCTGATGTTGTTAATGCTGAAATGTGTAAATAAATTATTGTTACCTTTGAGAAATTTACAGTATTGTTGTTATCCAGGACTGAAGTACCACCCTACATGTATGTGTACAGTATGATGTTATTTTTGTAATCCTCATTTATGAAAGGTCATCCGTGGGGAGCTTACAATATTATACATTTAAAGTATAGGGTGGCGTCTAGAAGAATAAGAATATCTAAAGAGATAATTTGGATGGAAGAGTTTTAAGATTTATGAAGTGCAAGCTAGAATTCAGGGCGCTGTCTTTTTGGTTCTAGACAGACACATGGTAGGGCAATAAAACTTCATATTTCCCTGTCGTCATGTCAAAAAACAAAGAAATCAAAGACAAATGTCTGTGAAGTGTCCAGGGAACTCAGTTAAGTGTTTCACTGGCTTTTTTAAACTGAAAGTGAATTTGAGAGTGGTGCCGAATTTAAATGTTGGCTTGTTTCGGTATAATAAACAATTTAACTGCATGATCGTGAGGAAAATATGAAATTTTTTTCAGACAAGAAAAATCATTTTCCCTGATGGCTTTGATTAAGTCAGATTATATTGTCTTTTTTATCAAAAAAGCCAAATCGACAAGAAGTTTGAATGGAATTTTTCACTCCTTGACATATGTGAAATAATTTGAATATCATTTTTCCAGTGAATAAATAATTATAAAGGTAAAAAGGCTAGATTTGGGGGGGGGGGCTATTGCTATGACATGTACATTTTAATTTGTTAATCTGTACATTGAATATCCTTTATCTGGAAAACTGTTAAATCAAACATTTTTCGCCAACTTCATAGCTATGGTTTAAGGTATGCAACTCTCATGTTAATTAGGAACATTATATATAATAAACAAGATTTGGCCACTGTTAAAACTGTTTTTAAAGACAAAAAATGTCATTAGCGGACCTTAATGAAATACGTACATGTATGTACTGTATTGTGTTCTCAGAATTTATCTGAAGTTTTTTTTTATTGAAACAGTTATAAATGAATAGATTTGCTCAAATCTCTATTTTTTTTAATTAGTGTATCTTTTTTTGCATTCTTTGTTCAATTTTGTATTGTGTTTCCTCTGCTATATCTAGATGTTTGACATTATGAAAAGTATTAAAAAGAGCACTAAAATATAAAAACTTGAGCAAGTCCATTATAAGTATTTTATTTTTAAAATTAAAAAAAAAAACAATGCTTGAAAATATTTTAAAATAAAATATTGGTACTTTTAAATCAATTTTTTTTTTCAACGGAAAATAGTTTCTACTTTTATTTTATGTTCCGTTTTCATGAAAATTTACCGTTTACTTTGTACATGTATATTTCCTGTTAATTGCTAGTCTTGATAATGAGCAATTTTGAAAACAGGAAGCCTAGATCTATTGTGGATCTGTATTATCCAAGAACTGCATTGGTGATGATTCTTCTGTAACACTGGGTTTTCCACTGTCTGCTTTTGTTTCAAATGTGACAAATAATAAAGTCCCTTAGGTAGCACACCTAAAGCGTGCTACCCCTCCAACGCCGGCGGACCGACGATGGAGGGCGAGTACCCCGTTTGTCTACACCTAGTTCTTACTGAGCAATTATTCAAGCCTTCTTTGATCTGTAAATGTTAGTTTATTTGGCTATCATCTCTTTTCCTTAACTGAATTCTTCCATTTTTCAGTATTTTGTACCATAGCGAAATACTCAGTTTCAGAAATATTTATGCCTTAGCTATGCCTTACTAATACATATCTTATATAGGTTTTCTGTTTTCAAAAGCAGTAATTTTAAACAATAGCAAACGACAGGAGATATATAAAATAAACAGGAGGATATCCATGAAAATTGCATGGATCATTAAAAAGTAGAGGTTATTGTCATTTAATAAAAATATTAACATAAACATATGAAATGTTAATAATCCGATATATTGGATCAAAGTTAAACAAAAATTTTCTGGGACCACTATAGAAGTCTTTGATGAATGCTGAACCAGGGTCAAAGACAAAAACATGTTGTTGAATCATAATTCTTACAAATCTGGATCTTGAAGCGACTTCATTACTTCATTACAAAGTTTCCACTGTGTTTGTTTTCCACAGTACATGTATATTTGCGATAAATTTTATTGATTTTTTTCAATAACCGGAAAAGTAAAGGTCGATACATACGCTGCTATTAATCCCATGCAACTAACCTCATGGAATAAATTGCAGCATGTGTACCGGCTAAATATCATTTGCAATATATTTTTCTCGATTACATAATTCTTTTTTCCTGGAATAAAACACTGCTGTTGCATACAATTGTTATCAGCAGCAACCATTCAGAATTTAGAAAATCTAATCTAGAGCTGCAATATGTGCTGCATTTTTGAGAATTTAATTTTGTTGTTAAAATGTGCTATTTTGATAAATGTTAAGTACATATGTAATTTAAACCTTTTTGATCAATTTCATTTAAATAAAGAATTTTTTTTCCTGAAGAAAGACTTCTGTACAATCGAATATATAGTATTACATAATTAAGAAATCAATATCAAGCAGGACAGCAATAATGTAATTCTGCTTCAAACAAAGCATAAAAATAATTCTTCCATCGCAAATATGAACAACAGAAATTTATAAACGTTCTTATTTCCTGTCAATGAAATTAAAGTTAAATACAATTTTGCAAAAAAAATTCCCAACATCGAAGTTGCAGCTCATATTGCTTTAAAAACAAAGGCTAAAATACATAATGATGAAAGTGATACGTTCTGGACTAAGAATTTAATATATTTTTCCACCATTTTTTCTTCCAAAAAACTTTTAAAGACTATATATATATATATATATATATATATATATATATATATATATATATATATATATATATATATATATATATATATATATATATATATATATTATAATTTAATCATATGGATTATATATTGTCAACACATTTTGAGTGTCTTATCTCAGAATGCAATTTGATTTGATTTTCCCCCTTACTTTTCATTGTAAATATTACTAAATAATGATAATGTCTATATTTTTATCTTATCTTGATGTGTGTTTATTTTACAATACATCTCCGTGATATAATAAAACATGCCCTTAATGTATACAAATTATTAAAAATCAAATCCAAGGGAGTGTAGATACTTATATGTTATCCTACTCTTGAAGACCGTAGATCTGAAATTTATTGACTCGGTACATGTATTTACATGTATTTCTAAATATAATAAGCTCAGATAATACAAGCAGCACGTATACTTTCCAGCGCAATAACGCAGACAAGAACAT